GTGCCACTATACGCCACTTCAGTGACTGATGCACTGTTTTCCATGAGAATGACTTCTCATGAGCTTTCAAGGGGGGGAGACAGTGAGAAAAATGGGAATCCAAAGCTGTGCCACTGATGGATAGCGTATCTTTCCCTCCTCCCTGTCTTCCTCTGTCACTACAACTCCAGCTGATTAATCACTTCATCATCAGTGGAGAAATGAATGAGTTGTTTGGGCAAAAGTTTCCCAAATCACTTGGGTAATTACCAGGAGTGTGCTCTGGACCCAAATGATATAGTAATGGGTTCAGCTGATCAGACATGACATGCAGTTTTGTATGGTCAGGCACAAGGCAAGAAGCAGCAGGAAAGAGACAAGGGAAGAATAATATAGAAGATTAAGGCTGGTCTATGGTGACTGAGATGAAATGGTGGTGTTGGAAAAGCGGAAGACTGCATTATTAGCCATGTGTAGAAGAGAAGGGAAACTGATGAAGTTTAAGAGGAGAGATGAGCTTGGCCTTTTTCTTTCCTGCAATGAATCATAACAGCCTAAATAGGTGTTGTGGACAGAAAAGGTCAATTTTTGTGACTGAATGTCCTGATCTTTGTCTTTAATCACCTGGCTCAATCACTTCAATCTCTCCAAGTATTAATAGGCAGATACATCAGCAATGCCACATTAACATCCGCAGCAATAATCATAATCATTCTGGGGAAATTTCATTGTTGCTCATGAGCCAAAGGCAAAGGAGGAAAAAATCGGAATGTGCAAGAGCTTTGCTTTACTCAATTTCTGTCTCCTGCTCTATTCTAGAGACCTAAATTAGCAGGCATAGGAGAAACAACACTTAATACTCTATAATCTCCCCTCCTACATAATTCAGCTGCTGTGTCTCTTCACCATCAGCTCCTCCCATACCCTTCCTTTCTCCTCTGTGCATTTGAAAATACTTACTCTACAATGGAGAAGGAAGCAAAAGTGGGACAAGAAAGAAACATTGCAGTAACAGAACCAGAAAAAGCAATAGATCGTAGCAAAGCTTTCCTTCAAATGTTCTAGAGAAAAATAACCATCTAAGCCAACTGCAGTTTAATTGAATCAATTAAAAGCTGAACTGTGCCTCAGTGAGAGCACTGAGGGAATGAGATGGGAAATGCAGCCAGAGAGGGGCCATGTCAGTGGAGAGATCCGCTGAGAGTGCTTGAGGAAAAAGATAGAGTTGCTAAATGGATTGATTTTCTGTAAATGTGGACTGGAAAGGGCAAGGAGCACAAGCAGTGGTTGACTGCGAAGCGCAGGCAACATCTTCACTCCCACATGCCTGGCAGATCAGTAGCTCTGCACACACATCGATGCATGCACAACTCAGAGAATCGATATACACACACTCACACTAAACATACACGCTAAACATTCTTATTTTAGGCCATTGCAGCTACTGATAATGAACGGTGACTTACAATTTCTTACAGAAAGGTCAAGTTTAACACAACAATATTTTTCTCCAGTAATCTCGAGACCTTCTCATTAACTTATTTTTCTGACCTTTTTTTCCCATGTTATTCATTTTTCTTTTTTCCACAGGTGTGGTCCATGGACGGTTACTTCAAGGGACGTCGGGTCCTGGAATATCGCACAATGAATGATTTCATGAAGGGCCAGAACTTTGTGCAACACTTGCTGCCACACCCTTGGGCTGGCACTGGTCATGTGGTCTACAATGGTTCACTGTACTACAACAAGTACCAGAGCAACATTATCATCAAGTACCACTTCCGTTCTCGAAGTGTGCTGGTGCAGCGCAGTTTGAGTGGGGCCGGCTATAACAACACTTTTCCCTACTCCTGGGGTGGCTCCTCTGACATCGACCTGATGGCGGACGAGAATGGCCTATGGGCTGTTTACACCACCATCCCTAATGCTGGAAACATTGTCATCAGCCGCCTGGAGCCTCAGAGTCTGGAGGTGCTGCAGACTTGGGACACAGGCTTTCCTAAGCGCAGTGCTGGAGAGTCTTTTATGATCTGCGGCACACTATATGTCACCAACTCCCACCTGGCTGGTGCCAAGATCTATTTTGCTTATTACACCAACACATCAAGCTATGAGTACACAGACATCCCCTTCCACAATCAATACTCCCATATTTCCATGATGGACTATAACCCCAGGGAGAGGGTCCTTTATACCTGGAACAACGGACACCAGGTGCTGTACAATGTCACACTCTTCCAGGTTATTAAGACTTCTGGAGACTGAGGACCCTCAGACTGACTGATTTAAATAATGCTGTGATTATTGTTCTGGGGTGTCAGAGGTGGGGGGCACAGACTATGGGAGGTGTGGGTTGGGGGCTTTAATGTATGGGTATAGGCTTGGATTTTTTTTAAATGAATTTCTTCATAGAGTGCTATTACTCACATTCTCAAAAAACTATCCGACAGTAAGGTCGGCAAAGATACAAAGACTGAGCGCTTCTCTCTCTTTTTTTCTTTCTGTGATGAGTAAGCATGGTTCTTTTTATTTGTGATGATAAATAAATATCCTCTTTACCATTTATGCTTTTGTATTTCATTGTCACTTTGATTTCAAAAACCTTAGATGAATTTTTGGAAGAGGTGAAAAATCTGTCTGAAAATGTGGTTTCAAACTTGAAAGGCTCAAATAGGAGTAACATTTCCTTTGTCTGTGTTGTTAAAGTTCCTGTTATTTCCTTGAAGCCTAGCTCAGACAGATAGATACAAAGCACAAAAGATGCATTTAGAATAATATTGAAGCTATTTTTCTAGCCTGAAATACTTAAACACACAAAATATGCCAAATGATACCATTTTAAACCAATTAAAATAATGCAATTATTAGATCTACTCTATTCTACCAAATCACAAGATGATGAAAGGACAGCATGAGAATACTGACAAGACCATTTCTAAGGTTGCATTAAATTATAGGTCTGGAAAAATCACCAAAGATTTTCCATCTGAAAACAACAGGGCACAGCACTCTGTGAACGCAGGATAATAAAATTCAAACAGCGTTGAATTTAACTGCAACGGCAACCACTTACATTTCATTTTACCAAGGTGAATTGAAAGTGCAAGCAAAACATCTGATAAAAAAGAGCAGATGGTGGTGCAAAGGGTCGAGAAGAATCCACAGCAAATGAAAGACAGAATGTAAAAGGTATTACATTAGAGATGACACTTCTTTGTTATTGCTGCTTGTCAGGCTCCAATCTGCTTTAATCTTGTTAGTCCCACGGCTCCTCTCAGATGCTTTCTGCAGAAAAATGATAAAATGCAAACCACACAGTAGCACACGGCTCGCATGAAATTCTCAACCTGCAGACCTTTTATTGCATCTTTGTCATTATTTACCACTGAAATAGTTCAGAAGCCATATTGGCATTTTGTGCTGCATGGAGGAGACAACAGCCCGCTGTGCTTCATTTCAGTGCTTTCATCTATAAGGTCTGTGCATGCTTTGCAGGGGTTGTAACATAAAATAATATCGTAGATTCAACTTTTCTCCTCTTCGTAGTAACCATGGTGGATTTATCCTAGATGACCTTTCTATCAATAAGTGCTACGCTGAAGAGAACCCCGATGAGTTCATACACAGTAGCAGCTGACATTTAAAGCACAATGCAATAAAAAAAAGGTACAAAGCATCTAACAACATCAAACAGAAACAGTATTGACTGGGAAAAATAAATGTTTTGGAGCTACCACAATATTACTTCACATGTAAAAGTAACCGGTTAACAAAGAAACAGATAAAAGTTAACAGAGACTGAATGTGCTCTTAACACAGGTCCATCACTCACTGCTCTCCCACTGCCCACACACACACACACGCAACTGGTTTTAAAAAGCAGTGCAGCACATCCTGAATTTGCAAGAATATATACAACAGACCAAGACATCACCTATAGTATAAATAGAATTTCACCTTTTAAAAAACTTTATAGTTTATAGTTTCATAAGCACAAAATAGTATTTGAAGTTAGGCGTGACTGATTATGGGCATGAGTGGTAAAGACAGGACTGCATTTTCAAGCTAGCAAACCTTTCTTCTTAACAGAAAGAAAGCAAGGAAATAGTGACCCATACTAAACAGACAAATAAAGCCATGAGACTGGAAAGAGGCACTCCTCTGAGAAATGTGAATGGAACATTTATCCATTCCACAAAATACGACATTTTTTAAGCAGTGTTTTTTTTTTTTATTAATGTTTCTTCAAAAGAAACAGAGTTCAAAACAGATCAGAATCAAAAGAGAGCTTTGCAAGGACTAACATATGTGCTGTTGTGCCACCCAGTTCTCACACTTAGTGCCAGTAGGTGTGGCAATAACAAAGACAGAGATCAGGGGTATAAAGAATAGCACCAAATTATTATGTGGTGACCCCATTTGAGTATTGTATCATCACGTCTGTGTCAGTCTAGGTCATCTTCAGCTAAGGCCAGTTTGTCAGAGCACAACCCCCTGCTGCCAAGCAACAGTACTTATGTGCCATCTTTCCTCAGGATCATCTTAAGGATAAAAGACAGTAGACTGAAAAAGGTGGTTGTGATTCAGGGCGTGTAAAAATGTACTGTAGTAAAAATTCAGAAGCGACATGTCAAATGTTTTTTTAAAAAAAAAATATCTATGAGGGAAAAATATATTATAAGTTAGAGCAAGAGGTATTAGTTGAATAGATAAGTTGAATTTAAAAAATAATAATTAATGAAAGATGGTGATTTTGTGCTTATTAGCTAAATACGTGTTTTTATTGTTCTATCAGAGTATGATGAATACAGTATGATGAATAAAGTGTCGATTCTCAGATTTAATATCTGAACAAAAATATTACATCAACCCCTGTGAAACAGTTTTCTATTTGCAAGGCCTTCAATGTATTAACCATAAAAAATGCAAGCAATGACGCATGAAGTCTTAAACTCATGAATATCACCAACATGTGGTTTTCCTTCTTTCTAGTTATATGCTTAGCCTTTATATCAGTTATCTTCCGTTCTTATTTGTGTGTTAATCTTTCTGCCTTTAGTTTTTTCTTCAGTAAAATGCATGTTCAGTCAGGATGAGATTAGGGAACTAACTTAGCTACTGAAGAATATTCCACTTTCTAGCTTTATAATACTCCCTGCATTGCTTTAGTAGCATTTTGGGTGATTTTCTATGTGTAATGAGAAGAATTTTACTGGATTTTTGCTAAAGTGAAAAGTGAAAGTGAAAAGCAGCTCTACACACTTCAGAATGTGTTCTGTTTAATTATGAATTAACACTAATGACGCAGTGCTGACATGGAGTGATTATGATATAACAGAAGCATAAGAATCGACACATGTGCAACAGTACAAGGAAAAATCATACGTAAAGCAAAAAACAGAATTTGTAAATTAGTACACGTTTAACAAGCTTGAAAGCCAGTATCTGGTATGAGACTTTATTCTTCAACACAGCCTGGACAAAGCTCTTGGGCATCTTTGTTGTAATTTCCCTTAAGTAGTCATCTCGTTGGAATGTCCTTCAGGCTTCTTGAAGGATATTCAAAGTTCTTCTTTGAATGTCGCGTGCCCTTTGTCCTATTCTCTATCAAGATGATCCTCACACGGCTTCAGTAATGTTGAGGTCCGGGCTCTGGGGAGACCACTGCATAGTTGATACTGTTCCATTGTGCATCTATCCAGGTATGCTTGTGCTGCATTGTCAGTTTGTTCAGAATTGTTGTTATGGTGAAAAAAGAAGCCACTGCCAATCAGACAACGTGTTTGTGGATTAAAATCTGATCCAAAATGCATACCATTGCTTCTATGAAGTCATAATTTCATCATCATAATTCCATAGATTATGAAAAGATCCCCAGCCTCACTAGATAAATGAACCGCCAAACCACAACAGAGCCTCCACCATGTTTACAAATGTAGACATATATAAATTTTAGAAAGTCATTGTTTGACCTTTTACCAGACCTCCTCTGTACATGTTGATGATGATCTGAAACAAAATTTTCCCATTTGGATTCATTGCTAGTAAGCTTTTTTTGGCTAAAAGCTATTTGGGAATCACATTGTTGATACAAAAATACTATTTTATGACTGTCAGACTGTGACGTCTTTGACACTTCCTTTGAGCGATACATAGGTCAGCGTTAAAAAAGTTTAACAAACAAAACACAATCCTCTTAAATGTCCACAAAAATAAGGGCAGGACTGAAAATAAGTAATAATAAGTAAACCAATATTCAAGACCACTTTAAAACATTACAAGAAAGTCTGCCTCATTGGAGGTGATTTAATTTAAAAAATCATAGTGACAATGTTTCAGATGTTAAATTGGGATTAGGGTTAAATTAATGGTTAAAATGTTTGAAATGACTTGCTGTGTTATTATTTCATCATTCCAGGCTGGACAGCAAAGTATAATTTTACAGCAAAGTTTTTGATTCATGTCATTTGTGGTAAAGTATGAAAGAAAGTTCATGTGGAAAAACCTTTAGCTATTTCTGCAGTTGCATTTTTCATTGTTGTTGGAGTCAGCTGTGACTTTGCACATTTTCTCATGGTGCAAAGTCACAGCTGCAGGACCCCAGGAAAAACAAAACAACAAACTTTAAAACTAAAGTTTGCGTGAATAATAACCAAGGCAGAACGTATTAACCTACAGAAATCTCTCAGCATGAGCAGCTTCCGTTAATGGAGAGCTGAAATCTAAAAAGAACAATAGGCGACAGAGTGGCTTTGCAGGTTTGATTTACTTAAAGTGGTTATGAACATGCATTCGCACATGCAGTCGGACTGATTGAGTGCAGGTGGCAGCGACAGAACTGGCTTGATAGAGTGCATGCGGTGAGATTCATCGGCAGTAGCGGAGATACAGAACAGCTCGAGAATTAAGAAGCAAAGCCAGTTCCAGTTTAATCACGCAACCATCCTCGAGAAGAAGGGTTTGTTTTGATGGAAACACAATCATCTTTGTGAGTGCAGCTGGGCCTGAGACACTCCTCTTTGATTAAACTTGAGAGTACATTGGCTTTCTGTCCCTTCTACTCATACAGTAGGTCATGTCATGCAGCAACGTCTGTCCTCTGAAAGGAAAACTTGCAAATCACCCCAGCCTTGTTTTATGCATACTTTCGCTGTAACCTTTTACATCACCTTCCTCATTAATTGTGCCCTCAGCCACACTTGGAACAACATCCCATCTCTTGTTCAGATTCACAGTAAACATTTCCTCTACTCCCTGCCCCTTGAGGTGACACAGAAACGCTATGAACAGGGCTTTGAACATTTGTTTCCTCATGATTAAACATAACTTGCACTCAGTTTCCTAATTTTTTCCACATTCCATATTCATGTTTGAACTCTAAAGGCATGCAAAGGTGCCGGGTTATCGAGATGGAATAATGGGTTAGCTGGAGAAGACGCTAATTTACTCTACTCACCTCTTTGGAGAACCTTCCTCATTAATGTCCTCTTTAATTGTGTTTTAAACTTCCATTGATTCAGCCCTTGCATCCCTAATCTCATTAGGTGCTGTTTTA